AGACTCCTCATGCGCAGACTCCTCATGCGTAGACTCCTCATGCGTAGACTCCTCATTGCGCAGACTCCTCAGTCTCCACTGCCTCCACAGGAGCAGTCTCCACTGCCTCCACAGGAGCAGTCTCCACTGCCTCCACAAGAGCAGACTCCTTTGTCCCCTCAGGAGCAGTCTCCACTGCAGCCTGCTCTGCCTCCACAGGAGCAGCATCCGCTGCCTCCACAGGAGCAGTCTCCACTGCCTCCACAAGAGCAGTCTCCACTGCCTCCACAAGAGCAGTCTCCACTGTCTCCACAAGAGCAGACTCCCCCGTCCCCTCAGGAGCAGTCTCCACTGCAGCCTGCTCTGCCACCACAAAAGCAGTCTCCACTGCCTCCACAAGAGCAGCATCCACTGCCCCCTCAGGCGCAGACTCCTCAGGCGCAGACTCCTCAGGTGCAGGCTCATCAGGCGCAGACTCCTCAGGCGCAGACTCCTTAGGCGCAGACTCCTTAGGCGCAGACTCCTCATGAGCAGACTCCTCATGAGCAGACTCCTCAGGAGCAGACTCCTCAGGAGCAGACTCCTCAGGAGCAGACTCCTCAGGAGCAGACTCCTCAGGAGCAGACTCCTCAGGAGCAGACCCCGCCGGGGCTAGACCCACCGGGTCTGATTCTTCAACGAGAGTTGCTTCGTTGCTGCCGTCGTCAGAAGCGCCCCTGGCCGCAACAAGGGGCTGCACCCAGGCGTCAATCGAGCCCGGCACTCTGCAGACAGACCAGTCCTCGTCGTTGAGGGAAGAGTCCTGCACAGGAGTGGAAAGGTCGCCAAGCGGGTCGTGAGATTCGTCGGAGAGGGCCTCGGTGCCCGCCTTGGCATCATCCCCAAGAATAGCATCCTGAGGGTCAACTTCTGTCACGAGATCCGCCTCAGTCTTAGAGTCTTCATCACGCTCATGCTCGGCTACCTCAGACTCGGCTACCTCAGACTCGGCTACCGCAGACTCAGTTTTCGGTTCGGCCGCCTCCGGTTCAGTCCCGGTCTCCGGTTCAGTCCCGATCTCCGGTTCAGTCCCGATCTCCGGTTCCGTCCCGGTCTCCACTTCAGTCCCGGTCCCGGGTCCAGCCTCGAGACCCAGCTGGTGGCCGGTGGCGGGTTCGTGGAGGGAAACTTGGAGCTCGATTTCGGACGCCGGTTCGGTGTCGAGAGCTTCTCGAGCGGAAGGCGTTTCTTCACGGCGGTCGAGGTCATCGGGCGGTGGGCGGGCGAAGTCCCGGCACTCGTTTCCGACGACGACCGCGGCTTGGAACCATTTAGGCCCACGTTCGAGGGCCAGCGTTGGCGCTGGACCCTCAAGTCCGCCCAGCGGCCGCAGTACCGCCGGCGTGTAGCGCAGATCAGTCGCCGAGTTCTCTTCCAGCGGCTCCAGACTCGGAGCCCCCGGGTTCGATCCCAAGCCCGATCCCAGGCCAGAGGATGGACCAGCAACCGACGTGTGCACAAAGTGCGGCGGACACGAACGCGTCACTGAACTGACCGCGGATTCCTCGCCCGACCACGGCCCGGCCGCCGAGAGCAACCGCGGCTGCGGCGGCGGAAGCCCCACGGGCAGCCGGCCCGGCGTTTCGATCGTGGAGGTGGTCGGTTGCGTGGAGATTACCGGCGAAGGGGATGTAAGCGTGCAAGGGGCTAGTGGGATTTCAAGCAGCGAAGGGGTTAGAGGGGAAGCGGATTTGGGGGTGACCGGCGGTTGTTGGAGGACGAGCGGCACAGAGGAGGTATAGGGTTTGATCACGGAGGAGTGGAGTTGTCCCGAGGCCCAGCGGCCCTCGGTCTCGGCCTTGGACGGTCGAGTCGGCGGTTCGAGTCCCTCGCGTCGCAGGACAGCGGTATTAATGCGAGCGAGGAGAGCCAAGATCTGTTCAGGATGTTCGTGGCAGGCTCGGCGGATGATGTTGTGAATCTGCGTACTAGAAAGCCGCAGGGTAGCAAGCGCCTTGAGACCCTTGCGCGCATGGCGACACTCCAATTTTGATGACTGGTAGAACAAGAATTTGAACAATTGCCGAGCGACATACGCCTCCTCCCCTCGGTCCGACACACCCTCCCGAGCCGACACGTCCCCTCGGGCTGATCTATCTTCTTCTCGGAGAGACACCGCCTCCCGTAGCGACTCCGTCTTGAGCGTGTGACAGCCGGACCGACCGAGCGCAACGCACACTTCTTGACACAAAAAAAGGCGCACCGGTTCTGCGTCCACGGCCTCGTCAATCTCTAACAGAAGCCCCGGGCTCTTCGCAAGTATCTCGCTGCACTGCAAAAAAGCTGAACGTGAAGCTGAACGTGAAGCTGAACGTGAAGCTGAACGTGAAGCTGAATGTGAAGCTGAACGTTCAGCTGAACGTGAAGCTGAACGTGGGGTAGGGTTGCATAGGGGATAGGGATAGGGGGTAGGGTTGTATAGAGGGTGGGATTACCTTTGACGTAAAGTAGTGGAGATTACCAAATGAATAAGCTTGTCTAGCTATCCGGTATAACTCCGGCCAATCTAAAAGGCGAGTGAGATCAGAAGGCAAGATTTGATCAAAGCGGCGAGTGTGAGTCTAGTCAGATCGGCTGGAAAGAGTTGCTTACCATTGGGCATTGTCCGCGTATTCTTTTTTTTGAGAAAATGTCGACTGGTGTTGAGAAATGGATTCCCGACAGGGAGTGGTTGAGTAAGGTGAGTATTACTTGTGATGGTGGTTTTGCTGAGGTCTCTGGTGATAAGCCGAGAAGGATGGTCCTTTCGGTTCATGGCCAGACGACGGGAGGCGGCAGTGACAAGGAGACTAGTGAGGTGGCTCCAGAATGTTACCAAGCGGCTCCGTATGCTTCTGAGATGAGTAAGTTGATGAAGTTGCAGAAGTTCAGTGGGAAGGCAGAGAGTTACGTGTCCTCATTGTTGTTGGATGAAAACGTGGTTCTAGCTGCAGCGGGTGTTGGTGAAGAGAGTGACTCCGTGAATGAGCAGTACTATGTCGCGGGACAACAGGCTGGTACGAAGGTGCGTTCGGAGAATCCGGACGTGTTAGTGATTGTATACCATGACGTGGATGCGTCCAATGTTGTATACCGGGTGACCGCCTTTCTACATCGGTTCCTATTCAGTCTTAGTGACGATATGAAGTTCAAGTCACGTGGTGAAGCTCTCCGACTTAAGGCGATTAGTGTAGTTATGAGTGACTCACAGGTGCGTGAAGATCGCGTCATGTTGAGTGCTGTGTGCAACACGGCGCGCACACTCGCGAGTGCATCGGTACTGAACGCCGTCCTTGTCGATCTGCCACCTAACGTGCTCAATTGTCAACTCTTTGCGCGCATTGCGGAACACGAGGCCAAGAGTCGTCCTTCTGTGTCCTTCGAAGTCTTTGACGAACACGCGTGTGCGGATCGTAAAATGGGTGCATTCCTCGCCGTGGCACAGGGCTCGCGTTACGGTGCGCGACTTGTACATCTGACGTATCGCAGTGGTTCCCCGAAGCGCAAGGTCGCGCTGGTAGGCAAGGGCATCACCATGGACACCGGCGGATACAACCTCAAGACGGGCGACGGGATTTTGTGGATGAAGGGGGACATGGGCGGCGCTGCACTCGTGCTGTCGACTGTACTCGCCCTTGCCGACCTCGAGATCCAAGACGTGGAGGTTCACGCCGTCGCCGCAGTCTGCGAGAACATGATCGACAAGGACGCCTACCGACCAGGCGACATCGTTACTGCCAGCAATGGCAAAACGATCGAAATACAGAACACCGACGCGGAGGGCCGTCTAGCTCTCTGCGACGCTCTCGTGTTCGCCGAACAAACGATTGGTGCCGATGTCATCCTAGACGCAGCCACATTGACCGGCGCCTGTCTTGTTGGACTCGGTCTCGAAATCGCTGCCGTCTATTCCAATTGCGACCAGTTCCGCGAACAATTGTGCAAATCCGCTACAGTCGCCGGTGAAGCGGCATGGGGAATGCCTCTTCGCAAACGATACCTCAAAACTCTTCAACCTCCTTACTGCGATCTCAGCAACGTCAAACAAGGATTCCGGTACGGAGGCAGCATCACCGCTGCTCTCTTCCTTCAAGAATTCATACAGTCCGCACGCTGGGCACATCTCGATATCGCCGGACCCGCCTGGAACTTCGAAAAACACAGAGGCGCTGGCTACGGAGTTGCAATGCTCGTCGACTGGCTCGCCAACAACTAAAAGACCACCGAAAAAAAGAAGAAGAAGAATGGTCGCATCTTGAACGCGCAAGTTTTTGACCCTATGTGAGCGCGTGTGTCCACGGGTGTGCGTGTGTGCAATGCGTGTGTGCAATGCGTGTGTGCACAAAGCTTGTGTGCAAAGTCTGTGTGCAAAGTCTGTGTGCAAAGTCTGTGCACAAAGCGTATTTTTAATTTGCGAATTTATGAAGTCGCCGGGTGCTGTTGCTTGTTCAGGACTGTCCGGAGGGGTAGCCGTGTCCTTGTCAAAAGTTTTAGCTCCGGTGGGGGTGAATGGCCAGTGGGTGGATATGTTGGAGGTGTTGAGCCCATTGGTGAGCTCGGACATGGGTTTGGCTGGCAGGTTGGTTACGGAGGGGCTACAGTTGATGGGTGAGCTGCCTGACTTATGCGTGGGACCACGTGAGTTAGTGTCAGTGCAAGAGGTGATACGAGAGGCGCGTTTGTCGAAATCGGAGTTGCAAGCGTTATTGAGCCCGAATGTATCACAAGCACTGGTACGCTACATGGCCGAATTTCTGACGCCAATTCAAAATCTAGCAGTCGCACAACCTGGTAAGCTCGTGGCCAAGGAGTCCGTTCGTGACCGACTCGACCAATGGGTCAAGGATGCTAACGATGCTTGTCTAGGCGTCTCTACCAATCGCAAGGTCGACGTCCCCCGGATCCAGGACATGGAGTTCGAACCCAACGGCATCGTCCGGTTCCCAGTCGTTTGCGGCAAACTCAGAACCTTCGCTGTCCCCATGATCGAACTCTCAGACCATACCACCAGAGTCTGGGCTGCCCCCGAATGGCGCCCCGCCACCACCGAGTAATTTCGAAGAGTTACCACGGTCTTGCTAGGCGGTACGCTGCTGACTGAATTGAGCGTCCCGACAGTGAAGGCAACGCCCAGCCGTTCTCCAGAAACATTCTCCGTCTGGAACGGATTTTTTAACACGCGAAAGCAACAACAACTAGTCAAGACCAGTCAATTCCCTTCTGTCAACTAATTCCCTTCTGTCAACTAATTCCCTTCTGTCAGTTAATCGGCAATACCCTTTCCTTGTTCGGGCACGCACGCGCTCAAAGGTGTGCTGTTAGTGCACTCGGAGGTGTGTGTTATCGCACAGTTGGTGGTCTTTGTAGGTCGTGGTGGGGGCGGGCGTATTTTATCGTATCCGGTGAGAGCCGAATATTCTGCGTATAAACTGGTCGCTGTGAGATGAGCGCCGAAGACCGGGAGATGCGCGAGTACGTCTGGCCACGGTCCTTCGACGAGAAGGTGGATTTAGGACGTGTATCTCTGGACATGGTTAAGTCATGGTTGACACAGAAGGTGACAGAGTTGACAGGTTCTGAGGACGAAATCCTCATTGAGTACATCATGAATAATTTGCTCGAGGAACTGGATCCCAAAACTCTCACGGTACGACTGCGCGGTTTCCTACAGGAGAATACCTACGACTTTGTTGCCTCGCTATGGAATCTATTGCTCCAAAAAGACTCGGTCCCGCAGGAACTCAAAGATGCACAAAAGAAAGAACTTGAAACGCAACGATTGGAGGCCGAAAAAATCAAACGCGAACTTGCTGCTCTAGAGGCCCGTACTCGATCCCCTCGTACTCGTTCGCCTTACGTTCGTTCTCCGCGCACACGTTCTCCGCGCAATCGCTCCCGGTCGCCGCTGAGCCCCAAACGGCGCTGGAGACGACGTTCCGACGATAGTCTCGACAGCTACCAACCGCCTCGTCGCGGCTACCACGCCCGCGGTGACCCCTACCGACGCGGCGAACCCTATCGCCCCCGTGTCCGTCGCTTTTCACGCGACGACTCGCATAGACCCCGTCGACCGCCAGATGACTCTCCAGCCCCCCTACGACCCTCGCCCACCCCTCCTAGGTCACCGCCCAGGAGGAAAAACTCCATCCCTTCGCCCTCCACTCGACCCAGGTCCAGGTCTCCGAGGCTCAGGTCCCGGTCTCCGCGGCTGAGGTCCCGGTCCCGATCTCCACCTCCAGGACACCGGTCCAGGTCCAGATCTCCGCCTCGGGGACTTCGGTCTAGGTCCAGATCTCCGCAACCGAGACCCAGGTCTCCACGGCCGAGGTCACGCTCTCCGCCGCCCAGGGCAAGGTCGCCGCCACCCAGAACGACCCCGACGCAAGATCGAAGACATTCATCTGAGGACCAGGGACGCGGACGCCATCAAGACCCCGATGCACCGCGCCGCCGCAGGTCCTCGAGCCCTTCCCCCGTCAAAACCAAATCTGAACGGTGGCCCATGGGTAGAAACTGCTACATGGACGACCCTCGAGAAGTTGCCCGCTCGCATTGCGTACAAGACTGGATGATGACTAATAACTCAGGGGCGCAGAAAAGAAGTTCCTCGGAGGAACGGCTTAGAGCACTTGCACTGCAGACTTTCAAGAGACGGTGAAAATGACACCCGTGTGAAATCGACACGGGCGTGTGAAATCGGCACACCCGTGTGAAATCGACACACCCGTGTGGAACCGACACACCCGTGTGAAAATGACACACCCGTGCGAAAATGACACACCCGTGTGAAATCGACACACCCGTGTGGAGATATTAAGCCACAGTTTTCCGCGACCGATGTTGGTTTTGCTGCCGCTCTTGCTGTTATGTTCTCATGCTGTGAAGATCATTGCAGGGTGTGCAATGATGAAGAAGCAACAGGCTGGCGAAGTCTGCTGTTTGCAATGGATCCCTGGTATTGAGACAGTGCGGGAGGAAGACAGTTGTGGGAACGAAGTGAGGGTTGAAGGAATGCACTTTGGAGGCTCGAAGGACGGTTCGCAGCCGAAGGACGGTTCGCAGCCGAAAAGCGGGTCGGGCGTTACAACAGCGCAGTTGCGCGGGGCGCCGGAATCAGCCCCGCGGCGGAAAGAGGTAGCGTCGAGCGCGTTTGTGTCATCGGTGCTGAAAACGGGGAGCAACCCGGCGCCGCTGCCGTGGGCCCTGGGGCCGTACCCGTTCAAGTCGTTGAAGGGCGGGATTCTGCTGAAGAAAAAGATCCCGCCGGAGACGACCCCGGCTCCCGAGCCGACCCCGACGCCCAAGCCGGGCCCGACCCCCGAGCCGACCCCGACGCCCGGGCCGGTCCTGAAAATCGGGTCTGAGATATCGAGCGACGAATTCGCGCGGCCAGCAGACCTGGACGTGTGGGTGGAGGCGCCTTCCGCCGTGGGGGTGCCGTCTGCCGCGCCGTCCGTGGACGTGTGGGTGGAGGCCCCATCATCATCGATAGAAGCGGGCACTCCCGGACCAGGATCAGTGGATGTTTGGGAGGGACCGGGAGCGCCGAGGGAAGTATGGGTGGAGGCGCCGTCTTCAGCACAGGCGCCGTCCCCGAGACCTGGGCGGTCGGGGGAAGTGTGGGTCGAGGCACCGTCTTCAGTGCGGGTACCGTCCCCAGGACGAAGGCCGTCTCCTGCGCCGTCTGAAGACGTGTGGGTGGAGGCACCTTCCCCAAACAAGGCGTCGCCCTCCTCGTCGAGGCCGTTCCCCGCTCCGTCCGGAGACGTGTGGGTTGAGGCGCCTTCCTCAAGCAAGGGATCAGCATCCGCCTCGGGGCCGCTGCCTTCTGTGGACGGTGCGACACCATCCCCTCGAACAGCTGGACTTCGTCGAGAGTCCTCCCAGCAGCGGGACCCACACACAACGTATGTAGTGGTGGAAGAGTCGCGGCCGATCACGCGTTCCCGGGTGAGTCGGTCGTGGTGAGGCGGAGGGTTTAGGGGGTTTTTCGAACGATACATTTTCACATGAGCTGGGAACGAGTGGATGAATGACCCATACTACTTGCGTTTCTTCGAAGCGCCATTACGGGAGGTGTATGTGCGATACGAACATCTGTGGACGGCGGGAGAGCATGCCCTCTTAGTCGCCTACACGACCGAACTGAGTCGTCAGGATAAGTTGCTTTTCATCAAGTTGATGATGCGCCAGGTTCAAAACGTATACGAGGTCACCGAGCTACAGGACCGCTACTGGAGGATCATGTTCTGGCGACGTGAGGAGGACCTCACTGCGGAGACGATCGAGCAAGACCGACAACATGTGCTCCGCTCCATCCAGCATCTTGTCGAACACCGGTTTCTCGACCCCTGGAAACCGACCGGAGACGCCGTCCATAAAGAAGACGTTTACGCCCTGAAGTCCCTTGCTCTCCCAACCCTGAAGGCGCTGGTTCAAACCTGCCCGGACGGGAAAGAAGTCCTCAAACGCCTTAAACGGAAAGAAGACCTAGTCGACTGGATCACCGCCAGACTCCACAGTAAAGTCACTCCCCCAATTGACCGCCTGTCGCGTGCCCGCTCCCCCCTCCGTTTTCCCCATACCGTTCTCATGCTCGCCCCGATAGAGTACGGGTCTGTGCGGAATCCGTTTACGAAGTTGACGTTTGCGGAGACGGTATGGAAACGCGTAAACAGTGACCTATGCGGTGGGTCTGGATTGGAGGGTGTGACTCGCGTTTTGGTGAACGGTGTGGCGTCAGCATTCTTTAAACGGCTGCATTTGTTGAACAACTTGTTCTCGTCGTTCATGCCTGGCGCGGGTGGTGGTGCTCCAACGGCGTCGCTGAGTGAGAAGATAGAGGGGTTGCTTACGCAGGCGTTGAAGCCGGGCGTGCTGGAGGAGATCTCGGCGGTGGAGTATGTGCGAACTTCGGAGGCCGATCGTTGTCTGGGTCTTATTGCGCACCCGCGGCTTTTCGAAACCCGACGCGACCTGGAGTTGTATGAAGAGGCACTGGCCGTGATCGATGCGGTTAAGAACCTGAGTATAAGGGCCGCCGATGTTGGAGACGCCGAGGCCGCGGCGACGGCGACCGCGCAGGTTCATGATCTGGTGAGGACGGGAGCGCGTTGTCTTGTTAATTACCTCCAAACACGCGGCCCGCCCCTCGAACCACTGCCCAAGTATTGCGAAACCCTCCAACTCGTGCGAGCTACCTACCTAACAAGTGAACCACTCAACGACAACAACACCCGGGGTCAAAACACGACGATGCTAACCAACAACCCCACGCACGGCGAAGTCTTGAGCACGACCACTGCCGAGCGACTGGCGCACCACGTGTTCCGTCGTTTCACGCCAGAGTACCTGTACTCGGTCGGGCTCTTTGAACTCAGCGGAATGCTCGAAACGCTCAAGAAATATGAGCTTGCCGCGGCTCTGCAGACACTGGTAATCGCTTGTCAAGCCACCCGAATGAACCGAGGTAAGGTCTTCCTGCGGCTCATCATCGACTGCAAGGTGCACCTAAAGTTGCCCGACACGGCACTACACTGGGGCTGGCTCGCACTGAGCGAAGCGGATACGCTAGAACCCGGTTTCATACTGGACATCGCTAAGCAAGTTCGCCAACTTGAAACCAAACAGACGCCAAAAAGCGTTTCCTCAAAGAAACGAAACAAGTCAAGCAACCTTGACGTAGGTCCCATGACCGTTCCCCCCACGGCGGGTCCCCCGGCGGCTCCCACGGCGGCAGGTTTATCTCCAGCGGACCATGGAAGCAGCCCTCCAGACGATCTCGCCTCTGTATCGGGGACTCCTCTTGCAGAAGGCAAACCCTCGCCTGCTCCGCAGCAGCCCTCGCGTGCTGCGGCGGTAGGGTACGCTGCAACAACCCGGGCTGTGAACTCCGGCGATGAAAATGTCTTGCTCTTCACCCCCTCGAGTCCGGATCAGTCGTCCTCAACAAGTCACTCGGCCACCAGTCAGTCGGCTCACCACGGTGCCGGTTGCCATCACGGGAGCTACCCGGTCGCCGGTCGTGGGCCTTATTGTGAACATGTGAAGTATGAATCGCGGCAGGCCCCGATTGCGGCTGCAACGGTGCGCAACTTCGCGGAGACGACGAGAGGCTTCAAGGGTATTTACGGCCAGTTGCCGCTGCTGAATTTGTCTGGTCCTAATTTGGAGGCGGTTTTGCGCATCGTTGAATTGGAGAAGATGATTGACTTTTTAATCCCGACCCGTGTCGTATGGGGCGTGCGCCAAAAGGGCCGCACGCGGACCGCCAGCTCGGCCTCGACTCGCGGCCGCCGGGGCGGTGGTTCGAATCCCAGCGTCGCGTTGGAGTCGGATATTGAGGAAGACATTTTCGCCGAGGAGCGCGACGCGGCGAAGGACACCAAGAGTCGGTTCTACTTGGACGGGACGCTAGTGGGCGTCGAACAGTTCGCACTCCACTACTTTTTGCAGGGCGGCGAGCAGTGCATACTCGGCGTTGAGTCCACGCGCTACGGAGACCGGCGCATCCCGAAGCCTGCGGCGAAACGGAGGTCTGCAGCGAAGCGCAAACCTGCGGCGAAGAGAAGGGCTGCAGCGAAACGCACCTCTGACAACAAGCGGTCGGCCACGACGACTGTAGGCGCAGGGGTCCTGCGGGAGGTCGTTGAGCTGCTGTCCGACGAGGAGAAGCAACCGGGTGCTGGGCCGCCGAGCGCTATGCCGCCGGGTGCTATGCCGCCGGGTGCTATGCAGCCAAGTGTTGCGACCATGCGGCGTGATTCAGAGCTGGCCTCGGGCTTGGAGATGTTGGACGCGAAAACCAGACCTGGCCCCGATCACGACGACGAGCAAGTTCCAAATAAGCAAGGACCAGACCAGCAAAGTCCGGACGAGGAATGGTGCGCCTATGGAGGCGGGGCGTACGATTGGGTGGGGTGCCATTGCGAGGGTAGTGTGGTGCGGGAGTTTGCCGCATTGTTGCTTTTCCCGTTGGTGTTTAATGCGCGAGTTTGTGCGGCTAATGCGGAGGCTTTTATCACGGACAAACAGACGGCGTCTTGCGACGTGGGTACGCTAGACTTTTACGAGACACGTCGAGATAGCATCCAGGCGTACATGGCCATTTTGCGGCAAGTCACTGATCCCCACGAACTCGCCTTCCTTCTCACCTTCTGCGCGTCCCAACTGTTCGAAGTCCGACTACTTTCCGCAACTTGGTCCCTTCACACCAACCACCCGGACGCCTTTAAACCCATCGTCGACCCTCTGGCCGTACAGGAAGCGCTCCAGAAGCTGACCGCGGGGTACGTTTCAGCGCCAGTACCACCGGGTGGTCCAGCACCAAGTGCTCCAGCACCAAGTGCTCCAGCGCAAGGTGGGGGGTCTCGCAAGCCGCCGGTCGCTGGCCCGAATCCCGCCACACCCGCGGGGACACCCCTGATGTCCAGCGCCAAGCCGCCAGGCCGGGGGCCTTCTGGACACATACCGCCGCATCTCGCGCACATGGTCCTCACGGCAGGCCGTAATGACGGCGCTAGAACCAACTATACGGGTCACCGCGGAGGCGCCAGCGGCTTACCTCCCCTCATGAACACAGTTGGTGGTGTGTCCGGGACGCCTTTGTTGTCTCCGCAGTTGGGAGGAAGGATGCCTAAACCGAGCCCGATGTTGCGGAAGACGCCGAACAGCAAGTGGGAAACGCCCAGCAAGCAGAAGATGTGGCTGAGGAAACAGGCCGTAACCAACGAGCGGAATCTCATTCTCGGATATGACCGCGGGATAGCTCTTCTGCCACATGAGAATATAGCTACAGCAATAAACCGGCGGTTCGAATCCGGCCTCAGCTACGGACTGGAACTGAGCCAGGTCGCGGCTGGCATTAAAATAGAAGGCGTTATCCAACTTCTACTACATCTCTGCAAGTGCTACCCATACTGGAGCAATGGAATGGCCGACCTGATACTCTGGAGGAAACTCCACCCTCACTCCTTGGACCCCAATCCCTATCCTTTTGTATCCCCGCATGTTTCGGACTTCCTACAACACAAGGGTCTTGAAGGAAGTGGGAAACAAAACCGCGGAAATGTAAAGGAGGAAGACGCTTCTTCCTGGGGACCTTCGCCCGTTCTCAAGACAGAGACAGGGGTCAAGACAGGGGTCAAGACAGGGGTCAAGACAGGGGTCAGGACAGGGTCGGAGGCGCCTGACCAAATGGGTCTCAAGCTGTCACCGGCCATGACGATGCTCATGCTGGTTTACTTAGATCCCGAGTGCTGGAACAAGACGGCAGTATTGGAACGCTTGTCAATTGACCTAGATGTGGTCGATCTGGAGTCCTGGGTTTCCATTCTCAACTCTTTCTGTCCGAAGAAGAGAGTTTCCATTTCTTCTGCATTGGGATCGACCACATTCAGCCCGTCCCCACTCGACCCGACAGTACGGGACCCGACCGATGGGGATCCGACCGTTCGAGACCCGCCGCGTTTGATTGACTTGTCTGATCTCTTAAGTGACGCCGCTGCGCTGGAAACACTGCGATACATAGACCTGAGAACGCGCCGGTTCGACTTCCGAAATGCCTGTACCGTCTTCTCTGAAGTCAAGGGACCTGGCGATGCCCTAAGCCAGAAACAGCGGCTCTGGCTCTACACCCTGGTGCAGGCCGGCGTTGTCGCTAACGTGTGCGAAGTCAAGGAACGCCAATAACACGCGTGCGTCCTTGACTTCCGTCCTTGACCTCATCATGCTCCAGGGGATTTGGATCTGTGGAATCTGGGGTGAATGATTCTTTAGACCGGGAATCTGTTGGTGGGCTAAAAATTTGTGGTAAAAAGATGGAAGCATGGTATGTGAGGGAAGGAGCCCCGATTCCCAAGTACGAGAAGCCGGGTGACCCTGCCAAGGGTGGTTTTAGCGTCCCCGAATACAAGTCGACATACACCATCGACTACACGATTCCCGTCGTCCATGGCGGGACGACCACCACGACGCAACTTCCCACCGGAACGTCTGTCGTGGCTGGCCCCATGAAGGCCTACGTTCCCAATGGCCAAGTGCTCCAAGTGGGCAAGGCCGGAGACCGCAACAAGGTCACCGTCACCATCACTAACCCTGACGGGACACAAACCGTCCAGGAACAAATCATTGAGG